GTCATCACACTCATTTCCTCTTCCTCCTATTTTTTGCAGTGCAATCACCTCGTCATCATATCCATTCTTTATACATGCTCATCTTATCATACTCGTGTCCTCCTCACTTTCCTCTCATCACTAACACCTCGTCATCACACTCATTTCGTCATCACGCCCATTCGTCTTCGCCTTCTTCTCATCACCAACACCTTGTCACCACAATTTCGTCATCACGCCCTTTCTTCTTCGCCTTCCTTTCATCACCAGCACCTCGTCACCACACTCATTTCCTCCTGGACTCAACTCACTACAGTCAAACAATCTTGTCACCACATACTCGCCCTCACACTCACCACATCGTCCCTCGTCGCTCCCTTCTCCTCCGTGTGGCTGTCTCCCCTCTTTCTTTGAGAGGGGGAGAGAGAGACAGGTAGAAAGGAGGGCTGTCTGTCTGTCTGTCTCTCCCTCTTTCCCTTTCATCCCTGCTGGGTTCTGTGCTGTTGATTTCCCTCTTTCTCTTTGTCTTTGTCTGTTTCTCTCTGTCTGTCAGTCTGTCTGTTTGATGGGTTGACTGGTCTCGGAATCTCTCTCTCTATCTCTCTTTCTCAATCTCTCTGTGTGTCTGTCTGTCTCTATCTGTTTGTTTGTTTGTCTCTCCCTATTTCTTTCTCTCTATCTATCTATCTATCTGTCTGTCTCTCTCCCTCTCTCTCTTTCTCTCTCTCTATCTGTCTGTCTCTCTCCCTCTATTTCTCTCTCCCTCCCTCTCTCTTTCTCTCTCCCCCTCTCTCCTTTTCTCTCTCTTTCTCTCTCCCCCTCTCTCCTTTTCTCTCTCTTTCTCTCTCTATCTATCTCTCTCATTTCCCCCCTTTTCTCTTCGTGGTCCACTTCCTCCTCTTTCCGCCTAACTGTTTGATGTCCTCTCATAAGACGCTTCTGCAAACATGGTCGGTATTATTACCTCTCCTTTATTGTATTTCGACCTTCTTGGAGTGGCAGATTTCCAGTTGTAAGTGGGAGGGGATATTCATGTATTCTGATGGTGTATTATAAGGATTAAATACGGCGTGTGTGTGTGTGTGTGTGTGTGTGTGTGTGTGTGTGTGTGTGTGTGTGTGTGTGTGTGTGTGTGTGTGTGTGTGTGTGTGTACGAAGCAGCTTTTTTGCTTTCAAAATTTCCTTGAATTGGATATTTAAATGAGATATCTTGATCAGAAAAGTATTTAAAAAAAAACTTACTCGCCTAACTGAGGAACAAAAAAAATAGTAACAGAAACAGAAATATACATCAAAACGAATGAATGGCGTTCGATTTTTCTTTAAATATAAAAAGAACATGCATACTCCTTTTAATGAAAGACAAATAAAAATAAAAATAAGTATTAATAGAAACAATCTCTAATTCACAAAGCAAGACAAGAAAATCACATAATTTCAATCAACCGAAGTGACTTAAAAGGCGTTTTCAAACTCAAAACCAAAAGTTAACAGCATTGTCATTTTGTGTAAGAGAGAGAGAGAGAAAAAAAATGTGTTCGTAACCCCTTGTGATTAATCAAACGAAGACGACCTCTGCGTATTTGCGGTCGATTCAACAGGCTGTTAGAAAAGTGTTTTGGAGAAATTCTTCTTCGTTTTGCTTATTTACATTCTGTGCGACGTTCTTTCTCCTCTATTTCTTCCTTTTTCCTATTCTTCTTCCATCTTTTTTTCATTTTCCTTTACCTTCGTGTCTTTTTTTCTTCTTCGTCTCCTCCTCCTTCCTCTCTTCCTCTTTCTCATTTTCCTCTATAATCACATAATCTTCCTCTTCTTCCAGTCCTTCCTCTTCCATCTACGTCTTTCTCCTTCCTCCTCCTCCTCCTTCTTTCCCTCCTCTTCCTCCTCTTATTCCACCTTCTCCTTCTCTCCCTCTTCCTCCTCCTCCTCCTTCCTCCACCTCCTCCTTCTCTCCCTCCTCCTCCTTCTCTCCCTCCCCCCCCCCCCCGCCGAATCAATGCTCAGTCCCCGTCAGAGAGGCTATTTTCTCAAGCCTCACCCCCCCCCCCCCGCTCCTTCACCCCCCCCCCTCACCTGCCTCCCACCCCTTAACGTCAGAGTCCTCCCCCCCTCCCCCTCCCCTCCCCGTTCCCCTTTTCCTCCCCCTAAGGCGGTCTGGGAAACTCTTTTCATGTTGGGATGTGAATGGACGGCATAGAGGGGGGGGGAGGGGAGGGGGAGGGGGAGGGGGAATGTTGGAAATCCTCCCTCGTTTTCGTTCTGCTCTCTTTCACTAATTTTTTTTTTTTATTAATCTATTTATTCTATTTCGTTTATTTGTTTATTTCGCTTTCTTCCTCTTTCTTTTTTCTTTTTCCTTTTCTTTTTCTTTTTCTTTTTGCTTTCCATCATCCGCCTCCTTTGCTCCTTTCCTCCGTCTTTCTCCTCCGTTCCAGTCTTCATTCTATCTTTCCCTTCCTTCCCTTTCCTTTCTTGTTTTCCTCCATCCTTCTCCTCCTTTACCCATTCTCTCCATCCA